TATAGTCAGTCGTTCTCTATACCCGTACTGCTGACAGCCTTGTTTGTTTCCTGTACGTCACTGTGAACTGTGAACATATAGTCAGTCGGTCTCTATACCCGTACTGCTGACAGCCTTGTTTGTTTCCTGTATGTCACTGTGAACTGTGAACATATAGTCAGTCGTTCTCTATACCCGTACTGCTGACAGCCTTGTTTGTTTCCTGTACGCCACTGTCACTGTGAGCATATAGTCAGTCGTTCTCTATACCCGTACTGCTGACGGCCTTGTTTGTTTCCTGTATGTCACTGTGAACATATAGTCAGTCGGTCTCTATACCCGTACTGCTGACAGCCTTGTTTGTTTCCTGTATGCCACTGTGAACATATAGTCAGTCGGTCTCTATACCCGTACTGCTGACAGCCTTGTTTGTTTCCTGTACGCCACTGTGAAGCATATAGTCAGTCGTTCTCTATACCCGTACTGCTGACAGCTTTGTTTGTTTCCTGTACGCCACTGTGAACATATAGTCAGTCGTTCTCTATACCCGTACTGCTGACGGCCTTGTTTGTTTCCTGTACGCCACTGTGAACATATAGTCAGTCGGTCTCTATACCCGTACTGCTGACAGCCTTGTTTGTTTCCTGTACGCCACTGTGAACTGTGAACATATAGTCAGTCGTTCTCTATACCCGTACTGCTGACAGCCTTGTTTGTTTCCTGTTTGTCACTGTGAACTGTGAACATAGTGTCAGTCGTTCTCTATACCCGTACTGCTGACAGCCTTGTTTGTTTCCTGTACGCCACTGTGAGCATATAGTCAGTCGTTCTCTATACCCGTACTGCTGACAGCCTTGTTTGTTTCCTGTATGTCACTGTGAACTGTGAACATATAGTCAGTCGTTCTCTATACCCGTACTGCTGACTGCCTTGTTTGTTTCCTGTACGCCACTGTGAGCATATAGTCAGTCGGTCTCTATACCCGTACTGCTGACAGCTTTGTTTGTTTCCTGTATGTCACTGTGAACATATAGTCAGTCGTTCTCTATACCCGTACTGCTGACAGCCTTGTTTGTTTCCTGTACGCCACTGTGAACTGTGAACATATAGTCAGTCGTTCTCTATACCCGTACTGCTGACAGCCTTGTTTGTTTCCTGTACGCCACTGTGAACATATAGTCAGTCGTTCTCTATACCCGTACTGCTGACGGCCCTGTTTGTTTCCTGTACGCCACTGTGAACAGTGAACATATATTCAGTCGTTCTCTATACCCGTACTGCTAACAGCCTTGTTTGTTTCCTGTACGCCACTGTGAACATATAGTCAGTCGTTCTCTATACCCGTACTGCTGACGGCCTTGTTTGTTTCCTGTACGCCACTGTGAACTGTGAACATATATTCAGTCGTTCTCTATACCCGTACTGCTGACAGCCTTGTTTGTTTCCTGTACGCCACTGTGAACTGTGAACATATAGTCAGTCGGTCTCTATACCCGTACTGCTGACAGCCTTGTTTGTTTCCTGTATGTCACTGTGAACTGTGAACATATAGTCAGTCGTTCTCTATACCCGTACTGCTGACAGCCTTGTTTTGTTTCCTGTACGCCACTGTGAACTGTGAACATATATTCAGTCGTCTCTCTATACCCGTACTGCTGACAGCTTTGTTTGTTTCCTGTACGCCACTGTGAACTGTGAACATATAGTCAGTCGTTCTCTATACCCGTACTGCTGACGGCCTTGTTTTGTTTCCTGTACGCCACTGTGAACATATAGTCAGTCGTTCTCTATACCCGTACTGCTGACAGCCTTGTTTGTTTCCTGTACGCCACTGTGAACATATAGTCAGTCGGTTCTCTATACCCGTACTGCTGACAGCTTTGTTTGTTTCCTGTACGCCACTGTGAACTGTGAACATATAGTCAGTCGTTCTCTATACCCGTACTGCTGACAGCCTTGTTTGTTTCCTGTACTACTGTGAACATATAGTCTGTCGTTCTCTATACCCGTACTGCTGACGGCTTTATTTGTTTCCTGTACGCCACTGTGAACATATAGTCAGTCGTTCTCTATACCCGTACTGCTGACAGATTTGTTTGTTTCCTGTACGCCACTGTGAACATATAGTCAGTCGTTCTCTATACCCGTACTGCTGACAGCCTTGTTTGTTTCCTGTACGCCACTGTGAACTGTGAACATATGGTCAGTCGTTCTCTATACCCGTACTGCTGACAGCCTTGTTTGTTTCCTGTACGCCACTGTGAACTGTGAACATATATTCAGTCGTTCTCTATACCCGTACTGCTGACAGCCTTGTTTGTTTCCTGTATGTCACTGTGAGCATATAGTCAGTCGGTCTCTATACCCGTACTGCTGACAGCCTTGTTTGTTTCCTGTTTGTCACTGTGAACTGTGAACATAGTGTCAGTCGTTCTCTATACCCGTACTGCTGACAGCCTTGTTTGTTTCCTGTTTGTCACTGTGAACTGTGAACATAGTGTCAGTCGGTCTCTATACCCGTACTGCTGACAGCTTTGTTTGTTTCCTGTATGTCACTGTGAACTGTGAACATATAGTCAGTCGTTCTCTATACCCGTACTGCTGACAGCCTTGTTTGTTTCCTGTATGTCACTGTGAGCATATAGTCAGTCGTTCTCTATACCCGTACTACTGACGGCCTTGTTTGTTTCCTGTATGTCACTGTGAGCATATAGTCAGTCGGTCTCTATACCCGTACTACTGACGGCCTTGTTTGTTTCCTGTATGTCACTGTGAGCATATAGTCAGTCGGTCTCTATACCCGTACTACTGACGGCCCTGTTTGTTTCCTGTACGCCACTGTGAGCATATAGTCAGTCGGTCTCTATACCCGTACTGCTGACAGCTTTGTTTGTTTCCTGTACGCCACTGTGAGCATATAGTCAGTCGTTCTCTATACCCGTACTGCTGACTGCCTTGTTTGTTTCCTGTACGCCACTGTGAGCATATAGTCAGTCGGTCTCTATACCCGTACTGCTGACAGCTTTTTTTGTTTCCTGTATGTCACTGTGAACTGTGAACATATAGTCAGTCGTTCTCTATACCCGTTTTGCTGACAGCCTTGTTTGTTTCCTGTTTGTCACTGTGAACTGTGAACATAGTGTCAGTCGTTCTCTATAGCCGTACTGTTGACAGCCTTGTTTGTTACCTGTACGCCACTGTGAGCATATAGTCAGTCGTTCTCTATACCCGTACTGCTGACAGCTTTGTTTGTTTCCTGTATGTCACTGTGAACTGTGAGCATATAGTCAGTCGGTCTCTATACCCGTACTGCTGACAGCTTTGTTTGTTTCCTGTATGTCACTGTGAACATATAGTCAGTCGTTCTCTATACCTGTACTGCTGACAGCTTTGTTTGTTTCCTGTTTTGTCACTGTGAACTGTGAACATAGAGTCAGTCGGTCTCTATACCCGTACTGCTGACAGCTTTGTTTGTTTCCTGTATGTCACTGTGAACATATAGTCAGTCGTTCTCTATACCCGTACTACTGACAGCTTTGTTGTTTCCTGTACGCCACTGTGAGCATATAGTCAGTCGTTCTCTATACCCGTACTACTGACTGCCTTGTTTGTTTCCTGGACGCCACTGTGAACATATAGTCAGTCGTTCTCTATACCCGTACTACTGACAGCCTTGTTTGTTTCCTTACGCCACTGTGAACATATAGTCAGTCGTTCTCTATACCCGTACTGCTGACAGCCTTGTTTGTTTCCTGTACGCCACTGTGAACATATAGTCAGTCGTTCTCTATACCCGTACTGCTGACAGCCTTGTTTGTTTCCTGTACGCCACTGTGAACATATAGTCAGTCGTTCTCTATACCCGTACTGCTGACAGCTTTGTTTGTTTCCTGTTTTGTCACTGTGAACTGTGAACATATAGTCAGTCGTTCTCTATACCCGTACTGCTGACTGCTTTGTTTGTTTCCTGTATGTCACTGTGAACTGTGAACATATAGTCAGTCGTTCTCTATACCCGTCAAAGTCAAAGTCAAAGTCAAAGATCTTTATTATGCATGAAGGCCACCGGCCCATATACATATAACATATGTACAATCAAAATATATTGGCAACATGATGTAAAACAATTAAGAGTTTAACAAAGTCTGTCTCTTTATATAAGCAGTATATATGAATTTGCATAGATTTAATAATGCTTCCTTTGAAGTAGAAGTTAGCAGGTTTTTGAAAATAAATATATTTGGAATGCGGTTGTAAATATGTGGAAAATAATAGAATCTTTCTTCAGAATAATATTTGCATACTAAAAGAAAATGGAATTCATCCTCTATACCGAGTTTACAGACAGGACATGTGCGTAGAGATACATCAATATTTAATCCATCTTCCTTCATTTATTTTTAATCGTAATAGGCCTGCTCGGAATTTTATAAGAATATTACGATATTTGTTTTCATGTATAACACTTAAATATTTTTCCGGTTCTAGTAAACACTTTACATTCTCTATACAGATTGTAGCGTGAACTGTTGTCGAGAGTACAATGCCAAGATTGGTAGAACATATTTACACATACATCTTTAAAACATCTAAGAAAATCGACCTTATTGCCTACACTTTGTGCTAACCATACAAAGCCAAATCCATGTGAAAAAAGTATGTTACGAATATGAGAAGCATAATTATTTTGCCCAATGTTATCTAAATATACTGACATGTCATATGATTTTTTTGGTATTCTACCAGAGTGCATTTCTGTAAGCTTTAGCCAATATTTAATAACTCGACATAAGGCATTTATATACAAAGGATACCCGTACTACTGACGGCTTTATTTGTTTCCTGTACGCCACTGTGACTATACAGTCAGTCGGTCTCTACACCCGTACCCGTCTCCGGGCTGTGGAAACCATTGTGGGTCATGAACGCCTTTACCTGTGAGAATAGCTCTATGCTGGGGGCTAAATGCAACCTTAAAGCATACATTGGTATTGGAAAAGAAATTTGATTACTGTCAACAGTGAAAGGTTTGGTGGAAAGACTACGAGATGGGGAGTACGTCATCTGCGCGGAGGGATACATGTGGGAACTGGAGAAGAGGCTTTCAGATCTGGGTCCTTTACGCCTGAAGTGGTCATAGACCATCCGGAAAGAGTTCGACAACTGCATGAAGAATTTGTCCATGCCGGAAGTGACGTTGTGGGAGGCCTTTACGGTGAGATAAGTCATAAATTTTCTCATGTGTGGATTTCCAAGAGGATGCAAATGAATATATTTTTTTATCTGTTTTTACGCAACGTCTTCAAGACATTTTCCTTCCAAGAATAACACAAATCTTTGTTAGAGCCGGAGTTATATGTTATGAATCTACGAGGTAACCGTTAATACAGGCTTTGTGTAAATTTAGAATTGGTTTTCATTATTTTTTTTATATATAATTTACGCAAATCCAATAGAGCTTTGATTGATGACAACGAAGCCATTTGTAAAAAGTTGTGATACAGGTAATGCTGAAAGTGAAATTCATGTAATATCAAGTCAAAACATAGATTACACAACAGTCTCGTTTCCACTGCTGACAGGGTTTCGTTCTATTGCGGAACTTAGTATAATAACCAGTCCAGATTTTTAGACCAATTCATTTAACTGGAAATCAGTATTACTTTGGCACATCTAGGCACTCTTGTATATTGCAACACTACGCTTCTTCTAATCTTGCCAACACGTCGTGCAGCGTGTTCTGTCGTACAGCGAGCTCTGACAAACGGAAACCCGGAAATCGTGGAAATCTCAAAACGAGGCTCTGCCGCCAGAAATGATTTGGCGGTGTGGTACGGACTTAATATTATATCAATCACATTGTGCGTTACAGAACTACACTGAATAAGCGCACAAAACATGCAACAGGTGTAACCAGTGAGCCAGATGCATTCAAACAGGGGCAGTCGCCAGCGGACGTCTTAGTTAAGGTCATGCTGCCGCCACTTCGCCATAAAATAAAGAAATACGATGTTATTAAAGTTTTAAATTGAAATTTATTTATAAGTACCATTTATTTATGATACAAGGAATTGGAATTCAGTGTAACCATGGAGTTGTTTGTATGTCTATTTTCACTTTCACACGAGAAAATTCGGATCTGGCTGAAAAGTAGGTCATTGCCTGAATAGGTTAACGAGAGCCTCATGTTTCGGTTTGCATGTACCCAAGTATTCAGATTTCCATGAAGTAAGTATTTATATCAGCACCTGTAAGAGATAAAACAAATGATTGTCCAGTCTGTTAAATTCTAAGAATATTGATGTTATCAAATCTATTGTAGTTTTTCACCACGTGCATTTAACTGTAGCAAGTTTACTTGTACTATAAGCCTTTAGGCCCGAAATACTGAATGAAATGAATCTGAATCTGAAAAAGTTCTAAATGCAATGGCCATATGACCACTGAAGGTCAAACAATTACAGGTAATTATATGTATTGACCTACACCTTGTAACCCGGGTTCACACTGAGGTATAAATCTACAAAACTGCTTCATGTTTTAAATTTTTATGCATACATTATTCTTATGACTATTATTATTATTGTATGCTTAATGATCACTGGTTTCTGGTAAAAGAATATCCAGTCCGGGAATGAAAACAGATTCTAATTATAGTAGGCTGCAAAATCGCTGTGAAAATCATATGAATGGACTTCTGTTCTGGAAAAGATTAAGCCATAATCCGTCCCCACTCTCCATTTGCCGCGCAGTTCCTCTCCATAGGCCATGGGATTGCGTCTTGTTAAACTAGGCTGTCATGGTCGTTGGTCTTCCTTTATCTTCCTAGGTCTTTACTTCACCGGTGATCACGTGCTTCCTCACCAGACAAATTATAACCAACCGGGCATCCAAGTTCAGAAAAATCTGTTTCCCTGCAAGTTGGTATGGTACGTATTCGTGTTTTAAAGAGAGCTTTTCCCTTCAGTATTACGGCCACCGAGCGAAGATGCGAATGGTTGGAAGGGAAGATGAACTGGAAACCTTTAAATCTCGCAGCGCTGAAGATTGCGCGAGATGTTGCTGACTAGGAGCAAGGGGAACACTAATGGCGGGAAATCTTTCCAATACCATGATCTATGACCCAGGGAATTCTGAAACGATAGAGGAAGTGAAATGTATTTTCAAGTGAGTGATGGTGTCGTCTCTTTGTATTTAAATTCCCACTTTGTGATTTCAACTACATAATAAAATGTGTTTAAGAATCACCGAAAAAATAGTGATGTAAAATAGTGCTCGTAAAAAGGTGATTGCATCCTGCCCGGCCATGTTTTGTATGTGGGGAAACTGTCCATAGTAATATTCGAGAGTTGGGTTGTCTAACAATGTATAACGAACTTAACTTTATTCTTTGTGTTGACATTCGTGTACTGTTGTTCACGTTTCCCCCAGGAACAAGTAGAGTGGGCTGTGAAGGGCAGGGCGGACTACTTTATTGCGGAGACATTCAACTCGTTTGGTGAGGCCAGCCTCGCTCTGGAGGCGATCCGGAAGAATGGACATGGTAATATGTTTCACATAGATGGGTAAATACGTATTAATCATTTGTCCCATAAGTAATTAAGAAATACACTTCGCTCTACCACCATGTATAGTGTAATAAAACCTACTTTTGCCCTGAACTATTAAAGTTAAAGCACGAGGACGCTTGCGTCAGAGTGCTTTAACGTTATAATAGTTCAGGGCGAAAGTGCTTGCGTACGAGTGCTTTAACGTTATAATAGTTCAGGGCGAAAGTGTGTTTTATTACACTATACATGGTGGTAGGGCGAACTGTATTTCTTTTCTAAGATGCCAAATTTAATTCTTTCTAAAGATAATTACGATTAATTTAAGGCAGAAAACAAACGACGGTGTCGGTGACCTAAATTAAGAATCCTCGCACAGGGCTAACTGGCGCGCTGTTCTATTGATGTGTCTGCCCCCTACGTTAAGACGAACGTTACCAGAAAACAAATGATAAACAGCTTGAAGACGGTTTACGTTCGGATTAAATATATTCTCTGAATTATTTTAATTACATCTGTCATTAACGTAAACCATATGGGGCAATATGAACGTTGCATTTCTACTACCAGCGTAAGTTTAGATCAGTACATCCAGAGGAAGTTGAGTAGTCAGCGACATTCCACAATTGCATTGTGGGAATGTAAACATTACGAACGTTACCGTGTCGCTGAAAACTTGTGAGTCGAAATGACACATTTTAACCGTCGTAAAAAACATAAACGTAATGTTTCCACCAGTGATGTTAGCTGCGTGAAGCAACAGCAAAACCAAGAAACTGGATGCAACGGTGTAGTTTACTGTAGGAGGCCGTACGAGGCGATGACAACTGACATGCATCGTGACGTCGCTTACATTGTGACGTAATGTAAAATGGTTCGATTACGAGGGGGCACACTAGAATGGCGCAGTGACGGGATAACGTCATTCAATTGTTACGTCATCAAAAAACTATACCTTTATTGTCTGATAATGTATTTTTTTTTCGATTGTTCTAACCGCTAGGCATCTTAGAAACTAGGATAAACACGATTTTGGAGTATATTTTGAAAATAGTTAAATCGGTCTCGCGGAACATGTCTTTTTCACCTCAGGTCTTCCAGCTGTGATCACCATGGCGGCGTATGTCCCAGACAGAACCACAGATGATGTCCCCTTCCCCCAGGCCATGAGGAGGCTGGAAGAAGAAGGGGCGGCGGTCGTGGGGTTGAACTGTGCCCGGGGTCCGGCCACGATGTTGCCACTTCTCAGGCAGATCCGACAGGCCTGTAAGGTAAGTGCACTCTCTGGTGGGTCAGCAAATCCGACAGGCTTGTAAGGTGAATCCACTCTCTCTGGTGAGTCAACAGATCCGACAGGCTTGTAAGGTGAGTCCACTCTCTCTGGTGAGTCAGCAGATCCGACATGCTTGTCAGGTGAGTCCACTCTCTCTGGTGAGTCAACAGATCCGACAGGCTTGTAAGGTGAGTCCACTCTCTCTGGTGAGTCAACAGATCCGACATGCTTGTCAGGTGAATAGACTCTCGTGTTGGGTCAACAGATCGGACAGGCTTGTAAGGTGAGTCCACTCTCTCTGGTGAGTCAGCAGATCCGACATGCTTGTCAGGTGAGTCCACTCTCTCTGGTGAGTCAACAGATCCGACAGGCTTGTAAGGTGAGTCCACTCTCTCTGGTGAGTCAACAGATCCGACATGCTTGTCAGGTGAATAGACTCTCGTGTTGGGTCAACAGATCGGATAGACATGTAAGGTGAGTCCACTCTGTTGGGTCAACGGATCGAACAGGGTTGAAAGGTGAGTCTGGTGGGTCAGGAAATCGTGACCAAAAGCCCAACCTGGAGATCTTGACCAAAAGCCCACCACCAGCCTATGATGCTGCCCTCAACCAAGTCCAGTTATCAGTGTAAAATATCTTCCTTTCTAAACTGCCCCATAAAATCTGGTACATCTCTGGTTTCCACATCTTATCCCATTGTTAATTCACTGGCTTTAATCAATTTACTGCCCGGCTAATCATGTTAATTTTGTTGTTTCTTTTTTTACACTCAGTATATATACACCCCCTCCTCTTCCGTGTTACATTCCTGCCTGACAAAACGTCACGCTCACAAAAAGTTTTTCATCCATAAATTTGTTAGTATTGGACTTCCCAACTTCTAAAAGTTGATCACTCAAAGAAGATCGAGTCATCAGATCAGACAGACCTGTAAGATGAGTCCAGTCTCTGGTGGGTCAACACAGATCTGTAAGGTGAGTCCACTCTCTGATGGGTACCTGTAAGGTGAGTCCACTCTCTGGTGGGTCAACACACCTGTAAGGGCAGTCCACTCTCTGGTAGGTCAACAGATCTGTAAGGTGAGTCCACTCTCTGGTGAGTCAACAGATCTGTAAGGTCAGTCCACTCTCTGGTAGGTCAACAGATCTGTAAGGTGAGTCCACTCTCTGGTGGGTCAACAGATCTGCAATGTGAGTCCACTCTTTATGTTGGGTCAGCAGATCAGCCTTCATTTAACTTATCACCAAGAGTCGTATGCCAAATTTAATTCTTTCTAAAGATAATTACGATTAATTTAAGGCAGAAAACAAACGACGGTGTCGGTGACCTAAATTAAGAATCCTCGCACAGGGCTAACTGGCGCGCTGTTCTATTGATGTGTCTGCCCCCTACGTTAAGACGAACGTTACCAGAAAAAAACAAATGATAACAGTTTGAAGACGGTTTACGTTCGGATTAAATATATTCTCTGAATTATTTCAATTACATCTGTCATTAACGTAAACCATATGGGGCAATATGAACGTTGCATTTCTACTACCAGCGTACGTTTAGATCAGTACATCCAGAGGAAGTTGAGTAGTCAAGCGACATTCCACAATTGCATTGTGGGAATGTAAACATTACGAACGTTACCGTGTCGCTGAAAACTTGTGAGTCGAAATGACACATTTTAACCGTCGTAAAACATAAACGTAATGTTTCCACCAGTGATGTTAGCTGCGTGAAGCAACAGCAAACCAAGAAACTGGATGCACCGGTGTAGTTTACTGTAGGAGGCCGTACGAGGCGATGACAACTGACATGCATCGTGACGTCGCTTACATTGTGACGTAATGTAAAATGGTTCGATTACGAGGGGGCACACTAGAATGGCGCAGTGACGGGATAACGTCATTCAATTGTTACGTCATCAAAAAACTATACCTTTATTGTCTGATAATGTATTTTTTTTTCGATTGTTCTAACCGCTAGGCATCTTAGAAACTAGGATAAACACGATTTTGGAGTATATTTTGAAAATAGTTAAATCGGTCTCGCGGAACATGTCTTTTTCACCTCAGGTCTTCCAGCTGTGATCACCATGGCGGCGTATGTCCCAGACAGAACCACAGATGATGTCCCCTTCCCCAGGCCATGAGGAGGCTGGAAGAAGAAGGGGCGGCGGTCGTGGTTGGTTGAACTGTGCGGGGTCCGGCCACGATGTTGCCACTTCTCAGGCAGATCCGACAGGCCTGTAAGGTAAGTGCACTCTCTGGTGGGTCAGCAAATCCGACAGGCTTGTAAGGTGAATCCACTCTCTCTGGTGAGTCAACAGATCCGACAGGCTTGTAAGGTGAGTCCACTCTCTCTGGTGAGTCAGCAGATCCGACATGCTTGTCAGGTGAGTCCACTCTCTCTGGTGAGTCAACAGATCCGACAGGCTTGTAAGGTGAGTCCACTCTCTCTGGTGAGTCAACAGATCCGACATGCTTGTCAGGTGAATAGACTCTCGTGTTGGGTCAACAGATCGGACAGGCTTGTAAGGTGAGTCCACTCTCTCTGGTGAGTCAGCAGATCCGACATGCTTGTCAGGTGAGTCCACTCTCTGGTGAGTCAACAGATCCGACAGGCTTGTAAGGTGAGTAGCAATAATGCAACTGAAACGGTGCTGGCCACCTTGGAG